AACAAAACAAAACAAAACAAAAAACAAAACAAAAAGATCATCAGAGCTGCGTGGAGCAGCACTGTCTCTGAAACCAAGAGTAGATCAGACTGTTGGGATGGAAAATTCATAGCTAAACTAAACTATGGCAACTCTACAATAAGGGAAAAGAAAGGCACTCTGAAACAGTACTTTTTTTTTTTTTTTTTGAGTCAGGGTCTCACTATGTAGTGAGACTGACCTGGAACTCACTGTGTAGCCCAGGCTGGTCTCGAACTCACAGTGATCCTCCTGCCTCAGCCTTCCAAGTGCTGGGATTACAGGCATGCACCACCACGCCCAGCTTCCCAAAAACAGTACTTTTGCTTGGTGCCCCATTTATCTGTGATGGAGAAGCCAGTAGACCAAATGAACAGACAAGAGCAGAAATGGTGCCTCTGAAGCTTAAGCCCAGGTTAAACTATGCATGAGAGAAAAACCATGTACAAAAGCTGAGAGCAGGTATTCAAACCTGGCCATAAGGCAAAATGAAAGAAATTCAAGTTACACTGCCAGAAACCACAGGGTCTGAGAGCTGATTACTTAAAAGGTTTTCAGCATTCCCAGTTCAGGTGGGCCAGCCACACATGCCTCCAGCACATGCAGCACCAGGGGGACAGAAAAAAAGAGGATGCTATAATACAGAGGGAAAACGAGATAAGGCTCTTCTAAATCAACTCCTACTGTAACAACACAAGAACTCAATAGAGGCAGGATTCCAGAATTAACGCTCACTGCTGCTCAAGCAAAAATTGAGCAGTAAAAAATAAAGATTTTTAAAATTAAAACAGTTATTTCTGTATTCTAATTCAACCTTCAAAATAAAGAGGATCTAAATCACCATGATCTGAGAATTCCATTCCAGCACAACACCCTGTACTTCTGGGTTATTATGAGAACAGACTGCAATGCAATTCAACTCATGTTCCAAAATGCAACAAGCAGCTTCAACAGGACAAGCTGAAAGAAGCAGTGTGTCCCCTCCTCTCCCTGCTCCTCCTTTACTGATTCATATTTTGGTAGCAAGGTTACAATTAGCTCACCGGTATTTATAACACAGCAGTCCCCCGTGAAAGACACAATCATCTAAAAAGGTTTTTAGAGGAAAATAAAGTGCAGCTTCTTCCTGTACTGACTGTAGATTCCCAACGTCCTTTTGGATGAAGTCCTCAGTCTAACCTTCCTGTGTTCACAGTCACCATTCTGGCCAGGTTCAGCCTCCATGTTCTTATGTAACATTTACATAGTGCCATAAACATACCCAGAGTTGTGTAACATTGCCAAACCAATAAAGCCTAAAGCAGGTCACTCCCTCCAGACTGTCTTTGATTAGCACAGGTATGCTGCCTGGTCTATGAAGTAAAAGCCTGTCAAAAACAGAAATTAACTTGAGAAATCTGAAGTGGGTCTACTTAAAAAGCACAAATAAGAAGAAATCAATTACACTGTGACATGTAGTCTATCAATCACAGAGTATGTTACTCTGCCCCATAAGATAAAAAGTAACCCAACATTGCTTATTCACTGAAGTCAGAAGCTGTGTCTAAAAATACTTCCCTGCCAACTGGCTATCAGTAAGTCAGTCTCACAAATGTCCCAGTAAGAGGGTTACCGAACATTACTTTTCAGGGGGGAAAATTAAGGCAGTAACAGAAAGGTTAAATTACTTGTTCAAGGACAACCTGTAAGGAAGCAAAGTTCTGGGACTGAAAGGCAGCCTTCTCCCTCCATCTGGTTCTAACCTTTAACCAGAATAGCCATTTTAATATGTTTTATCACATCTGTTACAGGAGCTGTTTTAACAAAATTAATCAGTCAGCTCTTTTCCTCTACAGTTCACATCTACTGTACTTCAAATCCACGTCCATGAACCAAAATTACAAGACTTGTCTTGAAATTTTTGTCTGTTTACAGAAACTCAAAAATATTCCCATCAGAACTTCAAATGCCTTTTTTGTTGCTCTGTCTTATAAAATGAATGTTTCGTTCTGCTACTAACTAAATTTTATGTTTTTAAATACTAAGGTGAAAAATTTCAAGTTAGGTCTTAAAACATGGTATACCCACCAAACTGATGCTGTTTCTAGCCTGAAACTCATTCTCCCTACTACTGGTTTTTACTAAGTCCCAGTGAAGTCATTAACAGAAACACCTATTCCTTACTGCCCTCACATTATGTCCAAGTAAATACTAGGCACTGAAGCTGCCTGGCTCTGTCACTTCTCCAGGCATGTAGGAGACCAATGCGTAGGAAATGCAGGGCAGAGGAGAAAATCAACTCTTGTTATCTCATAGACTCTATTTCTCAGAACTGACGTTTTACTGTAAGCCTTTTGCAATAGTGGTCTCCATAACATGCACTGTTGGCAACTAGATGTGTCCCGGAAAAAACTGTAGTGTCTGGCCAAGAAGTTTAAAGGCTTTGAGAATGTTTGCTGGACACACAATCTAATTTCCCATTTACCAAAAAAAGAAATTCTTTATTATGCCCAACGAACCTTACCCCAACAAACAGCCATTTTAGGAAGATTACAAAAAAAAAAAAAAAGAACTCTGCCCCATTCAGAACCAATTGGATTATCACTTAATCATTCTTAACTAGGCTGACAACAAGAAAAATCTCACAGACACTAGCCAAATCAGCAGGGAAATGAGTGTTTAAAATCTAGGATACATTAGGGGCAGAATAAAAATTCCTATTTGAGAGATTTAAAATTTATATAATAAAATGACAAAGCTGGTTGAATCACCTCATTTTTACTCTCCTAAAAGAGAAATAAATTGTGCTACACATCCCAAAACCATGGCCCACAGTAAGTCCCCACAAACATTCTTATTCATGAAAACCATTATCTCACTACCAATGTCGGGCTCTGTTTGTGAACCTTCTGCATGCTTATGAGACCCCATCACACAGCAGTGATACCATGATGTATACACACACGCACACACACACACACACACACACACACACTTCTTAGCAGAAGCATTAGCCAGTGAACAAAAGACACTACACCACTGGGAACAAACATCAAAGCTGGAGATAATGAACTTGTTTTTGAGACTCCAAAGTAGCATGATAGCTTTTCTTGATAGTCTGGCTTATGAAGGAAGAAGCCTCTACCCACTTGAATCATTATTTTCAGTGTCAAGGAGAACCCCAGAACACACACTTGGTCTCCCATTGCTGGAAGGTTAGGGGCTGCTGAGAAGTCAAAGCAGCAGGCTTTGTACACCGGGAGTGAACACAATCCTGATCATCTCTCCCAGATCCATCTGTGGGTCAATAATCACTTCACTATAACTGCCAAATATAACCATCAGCAATCTCAATGCCAAAACACATTTGAAGGGACTCTCTCAAATGAAATATTTTAAGGTTTCATCCCCTCTCCTCAGCCTGTAAACGCTCATAAACACACCCTGTGGAGTGTCCCACAGAAAGGTCCCCACCTCTAGTAGGAAGGGCGGGGGTGGATCAGGCCAGCAGAAGGCTGCGGGGGTTGGAAGGTAAGAGGTGTGTAAGGGTGGGGAAGGGCTGGGAAGAGGGACTGTGTGCAAAGGTAAATAAGTACAGTACTGACCAAGGAATAGAGAGACGGTCCAGAGGTGGGATCTTAAGTACAATCTTGGGGGTTGGAGGCAGGTTCTAGGATTTCACCAGAAAGGTATCCACAAAGTGATTGAATGAATGGGCCCCCTGGGGCCGGGTAGGGGAGGCCAGCAAATACACCTATATTCAGATTAACCGCTGGGAACTGGGTTTCATAGCTTAGAAAGAATCCAAGGCCAAGCTCCAAAAAAGATTTGGGGGCCTGCTCGTCCCACTTCCTCCAAACAGCTTTGCTACAAGCGTGTAAACTGGAGGTGGGGGGTTTGCCCCTAGAGACGCAAGGGACTGAGCAGAGGAGAAATGTGACTCCTGTTCCCAGAACATCAGGGAGGGAGGGAAGAGACACCCAAGTGCTAGAGCTGAAGGAAGGTTAAAGACCCCCCTGCTCCTATATCTTTGGGTGCGCAAAGGCTCTCGACCCAGGATACTCAGAGAAGCAAGACCCCAACGCCGAACCCCACAATCTTGGCGGGAGAAAAGGTGCCCCCCCGCAAGAGCATCTGGTGGGAGGGAACGAAGCCCCCCCGACCATGGACATCCTGAAAGACAGGAACCAGGGACCCTCACATCTTGAGGAAGAAAGCACGGACTCCCTTCTATGAAACATGGGGTGCTGGGAGCGCGACCCCTGGAGCTCCCCGAATCCAGTTCCGCCTGAAACAAGACTCGGCCCCCAAGGGGCCCGGCGCAAGCTCGGTCGC